TCTCTCTTTCTGTGTCTCTCTCTCCCTTTCCTTGTATCTAAATTTGTCTCGTTTCATGAACCATGTTTTCATTTTCTTTTCCTGGGTTTTCTTTTATCTTTATTCTTCTCTCTCTTCTCTCTCTCTCTATCTCTCTCTCTCTCCTCTCTCTCTCTCTCTTCTCTCTCTCTCTCTCTCTCTCTCTCTCTCTCTATCTCTCTCTCTCTAGTATATATATATATTATATATTATTATAATATATATATAATACTATATATAAATAATACCGCTCCTCACTCTTTCTCTCTGTCCTGTCTGTCTGTCTGTCTGTCTTTCTCTCCCTATCTCTCTCTCTCTCTCTCTCTCTCTCTCTCTCTCCTCTGCTCTCTCTTCTCTCTTCCTCTCTCTCTCTCTCTCTCTCTCTCTCTCTCTCTTCTCTCTCTCCTCTCTCCTCTCTCTCTCTCTCTCTTTCTCTTTCTTCTTTCTTCTTCCAAATTTTAGTCTTGTCTTTGACGCCCGATATGTTATTCACCTTTGCCTGTTATCTTTTCATCTATTCCTCTTCCTTCTTAACCTTCCTCTTCCTGTATTCATTACACTTTTATCTTTCATCCCTTTGCCCAGTATGTCTGTTATCTGATTTTCCTTTTTTATCTTTTTAGAATTATTCGTCTCTCTCTTCTCTCTTCTATTTATTGTACACTTTCGTATTTCATCTCTTCGTCCAATATCTATTTATTTCGTTTGAACCTTTATCTCTTATTCTCTTCGTCTCTTTTCCTCTTCCTCTTCCTGTACTTATTATAGTTTTGTCTTATTTCCATTCTACAATGATTATCTAGTTTCGTGTTTCATTCCATCGTTTCAGTATATTATTGCATTTCCTCTTTGTCTTCTTTCTTATATGCTTTGATTTTTCAATTTTCTTCTTTCGTGTGTTATCTGATTTTCCCCTTTGCCCTCTTTCGTATATCATTGATTTTTCTTTTCCTCTTTTTATATTATTTGATTTTCCCTTTTCATCTTTCCTATACTATTTGATTTTTCCTTTTCTCCTTTCTTATATTATTTGATTTTTCCTTTTTTCTTCTTTATATCATTTGATTTTTCCTCTTTTTATATTATCTGATTTCCTTTTTGAATTCTTTCTTATAGTATTTGATTTTTTCCTTTTCCTTTTTCGTACATCATTCAATTTCTCCTTTTACCTCTATCTTCTTTACTCCTCCTCTTCTTTTTTGTTTCATACCTCACTCCTTCGTTCAATACGCATTCTATCTGATATTTTCTCTCTCCTTTGAAGACGAAAAAAAAATCGATACCTTTGTAGTCAGGAATTGTTCTTGTTAATGGCGATTATAAATTGCTGATTGATGTCAGTAGAAAGAAAGAAAGAAGAGAGAGAGAGAGAGAGAGAGAGAGAGAGAGAGAGAGAGAGAGAGAGAGAGAGAGAGAGAGAGAGAGAGAGAGAGAGAGAGAGGAGAGAGAGAAGAGAGAGAGAGAGAGAGAGAGAGAGAGAGAGAGAGAGAGAGAGAGAGAGAGAGAGAGAGGAAGGAGGGAGGGAGGGAGGGGGAGGGAGGTGAGCGGGAGGAGAGAGAGAGAGGGAGAGAGGGAGAGAGAGAGAGAGAGAGAGAGAGAGAGAGAGAGAGAGAGAGAGAGAGAGAGAGGAGAGAGAGAGAGAGAGAGAGAGAGAGAGAGAGAGAGAGAGAGAGAGAGAGAGAGAAATTGATGTTGATGTCGATAATGAATCCAGCATAAATAAGCTTTTGTTGAGGTCTTTGGATAACTTATCGACGTTGCAAATTTTCTTTTTCTTCTTCTCATTTTTTCTTCTTTTTATTTGATTCATCTAGATTTTCTTCCTCTTTCCTCTTTCTTTTTAAGCGCATTAATGGAACCAAAGTTGATTTTTAAGTCACTGATAGGTCAGGTGTACCAGGAATGATGTTAATTGCTTTATTAATCTAATCCTTAGTGAAGTAGCTAAATGAAGATATAAAACTAAGAGCTTTTTGTTTCGTGTGGATCAATACGTCAATCTGTTCACTTCGAATTACGTCACCATTGACTGCCGTTTTTTAATCTTATTTTTTCTCTCTGCCTGTCTGCTTGTCTGTTTGTCTGTGTCTGTGCGTCTGTCTGTGTTACTGTGTGTGTCTGTTTCTCTCTCTCTGTCTCTGTCTGTTTCTCATCTCGCCCACTTTCTCCTTATCTTCTTTTAACATTAGTCATTAAAATTCATTAACCACGAATCCCTTGCACCAACACTAGAAAAGAAGAAAAAATAGAAGAGAGTGAGAGAGAAGAGGAGAGAGAGAGAGAGAGAGAGAGAGAGAGAGAGAGAGAGAGAGAGAGAGGAAGAGAGAGAGAGAGAGAGAGAGAGAGAGAGAGAGAAAGAGAGAGAGCGAGAGCGAGAGCGAGAGAGAGAGAGAGATTAAAAAGAGACGGACGGTGCAATTCCGGAGCGATCGCACCAAGAGGGCCGCCCTCCCTTTTCCCGGAGGACGAGTGAACAAGGTCTTTCGAGGTCTTCCGAGCGCATAAGGACCCTTTCGCGTAAAGGCCTTTTCTCAAAGTCGTTGCCGCGAAACGAGAAATGGTACAACAATCGTCACGTTTCGAGTTCAATGAGATCCTTCTCAGTCGCTAATACCTGAGACGAAACTATTATCTGGGATTGTAGTTTCGTCTGAGTCGAAAAAGATGCGGTTTTCTTATTTTTTCATTTTACTTGTGGTTTCATTCGAACTTCGTTAGCTAAAAGTGTTTTATATAATATCCATGATAATCAACATTATATAAGAACACCGGCATTAGCAATCAAACAAATAAACAGATAAATTAAGAAATAAGCAAATACACACCAACAGAGATAAAATAATAAACACAATACCTACAACTACGATTAAAAAAGAAATATACATATTTTTACCACAACAGACCTTACCATCGCGTACTCCCGCAATCGAGTTAAAAAGGGTTTCCTTAATGAGGCTTCCCTTTCCTCCAGGGCATGATGTTCCTGCACGACAGCGAAATCGTGTCTCACGGAAACCTCCGATCGAGCAACTGCCTCATCGACTCCCGCTGGGTGCTGATGGTGGCCGACTTCGGGCTCCATGAGTTCAAGGGTAAGCCAAAGGGTTTTCCTGTGGATTTTCCGCTGTGGTTTTGGTGTTGTTATTGTTGTTGTTACGTTTTCCGTGGGTTTTCCGTTGTGGTTTTGGTGTTATTGTTGTTGTTACGTTTTCCGTTTTTCGTTGTGGTTTTGGTGTTATTGTTGTTGTTACGTTTTCCGTGGGGTTTCCGTTGTAATTTTGGTGTTATTGTTGTTAAGTTTTCCGTGGGGTTTCCGTTGTGGTTTTGGTGTTGTTATTGTTGTTGTTACTTTCGCCAAGGAGGTGATGTTTTCGGGCGCGTTTGTTGGTTTGTTTGCTTGTTTGTTTCTTAACAGGATAACTCAAAAAGTTGTAAATAGATTTTTTCTGAATATATTACCAAAGATGTGACTTAGCCTAACTTAAATGCCATCACATTTTGGTGGCAATATGGATATTATTTGTTCACTTGTTAACAGGGTAACTCAAATAGTTATGAAAAGATTTTATGAAAATTTTACCAAAGTGCCTTTGATTTTTTTTAATGATTACACCTGTTACCCCCATTGCCTTGCCTACGCGAAAAAGGTTAATGTACTTCTTTGTTATAGTTTTATTGCATCGGTGATCCTATTACCTTGGCGGAATTGTTATTGTTATTATTTTATTATCAGTATTGTTGTTGTTGTTATCATTATCATTATTATTATTGTTATTGTCATTATTGTTATTATTATCATGATCACTATCGTTATTATTGTCATCATTATTATTATTATTATTATTATTATTATTATTATTGTTATTATTATATCATCATCATCCATCATCATCATTATTGTTATTATTAAATATTATTATCATTAGTATTATTATTATCACTATTATCATCATGATTATAATTATCATCACCATCATTATCATAACCAATACTATTATTATTATCATCATCATCATCATGAATTTTATTGTTATTCCCATTTTCATCAGCATAACTATAAACATTCTCGTTATCATTATTTATATATTCATTTATCTGTTTTATTTTCTTCTCTCTGTATGTGTGTCATTCGTATATACGTATATATTTTTTTTCTAGCTGAATCTATTTTTATTCCATTTTAATCGCTTTTCCGATTTCTCTCCTGAATCCGTTTATTCCTTGTTATTTTTGTTATTTTTATTTCCATGTTATTTTCCCTCCATCCTATCTGCAATCCTTCTTTTTTATTTCCTTTAAATCCAATTCCGTAGTCAGTTCTGTTTTCTTTTTTTTCTTGGTATCGAATACTATATTTTTTCGCTAAGAGGATTTGAATGTGTATGTATAGACGCCGTGAAACATGTGGCTTTGCGTTTATGTTTTTCTTTTTTGCGATTCCATTGTTTTTGTTTTTGCATGATGTCCTGTGTCATTTTCATTGTTTTTGTGTGTGTCTTGGGGGGGGGGGCATTTTAACCTGTCATTTTCATTGTCTTTTATTTTTTTTTTTTTTTTTTTCGCTGTCATTTTCATTTTTTCAGGTGTTGATATTGTGGGTTGTGATGTCATTTGTGTTATTTTTTTCTGTTGTTGATGTAATTGTTGTTTTTGTCGTGCCCTCGCTTTTTTCTGTTGCTGTTGATATAAATATTTTGCTTATGTCTTGCTTTTATCGTCTTTTCTTCTCGTTATTTGGATTTTATTGTCGTCTTATTGCTGTCTTCGCTGTCATCCGTGCTAACATCATCGCTGCACTTCTTATCTTTTTCGCAAAATATTTTTTTCGCGCAGAATTTCCGCTTTCCACTCTGCCTCCGAGTGCGCTTTCTACTGGGTGTTATTTGGCAGTCAGGGTGCTTCTCAAGGGCGCTCTGAGACATCATTTCACGCTCACGGATTCCTGGGCTTCTCGCTCGCTCTTTCTCGGGATCTCGCTCTCT